CCATTTTAGAACCGGGTATTCGATAAGACGCGTGCATTTCGATTCTGCTTAACGATTCCTGCATTCGCATTTGAATGTGATTAAAAACTATTTAAATGCAGGAACGGAAAGAACCTGCGCCCTGTTTGCGTGCAGCGCACACGAAGCGCAAGCGCGAGCACAGAGAACAGAGGTCGCGATACGGGTTCCCAGTTTGTGTCCGTTCTCGAACCATTCCGTGTATTTCCACTGTAGAAAAGGTTGTTCCGGGCCGAAACTGACTTCTTTCATATTTGTCGACCAATATGCAGAAAACTACGTCAGTATATCATCATAAACACAGCCATTTTTGTCTTACGTGAACGTAAACAGACGAGAAAGAAAACACACATGTACAGTATTTTTAGATCTGTGTGCGTTCGGTGTTAAAGAGACAGCAGCCTAATAAACACGCTGCCTGTCATGAATGTTAATCAAAGAACAACAGAAAATCATTCACCGATCTTGACTGAATATATTTAATAACTTTAATTGATTAATCTATATTTTATTTATGAAAAGAAAACTATGCAGTTTTTAAACTTTTAATTAGTTTCTGTACCTGAAATTTTGTTCAGTTGTATTTATTTATGATATTGCTAATAGATTATTGGAATCGAAACTAGGAATCGATAAGAATCGGAATCGGAATCGATAAAATTCAAACGATACCCAACCCTAGACATAAGACTATTACACAATAAAGCATTTATTAGCAGTACTTTTTTGCATAAAGCGGAGCTGAAGGTCTAGAAAACTTTCACTGTACAAAAAAGGGTGCGCACCGACAACACAGAATGAATGCATGCATGATCATACAACAAAACTCATACACCAAATGGCAACTGCTTATTCACGAACTACAACCGATGGCTTATGACTACAATAATCAAGCCACCACATTCAAGGTCACAATATGTACACTTAAAGGGGTCATATGATGCGATTTCAATTTTTCCTTTCTCTTTGGAGTGTTACAAGCTCTTG